ATCGTTTACGCGCAGTGTCCACGCTCAACCGTTCGGCAAACCGCTTTTAAAAATAAAATTACCTGATGCTCATCGGTCGCTCCCCAACGTCAATTATTTATTTTTTGATCAGTCACTACGCATTATTATATCTACCTACCTACCTACCTACAGACCCTTAAAAATATAACGTTTTTCCTTTTCTTTCTTTCACTTATATACCGCGATCTAATTGCGAGACGATTTACTTCGGTGTCCGAAGGAAATCATATATATTACGAGTATCGGTGTCCCCCGTTGTGAACCACACCGTCCGCCGTTTTAAGGCCGGCCATTAAACAGCCGTTCAAAAAAAGGGGGAAAAAATGTTTCCTATACACTCGCCTGCACAACACACCTCCGATCTTGTATCAGGTTTCAATTACGACACAATATAATACAATATTTGCGGTAAAACGGAGGAAATACCCTCATCCGGACGATGACCAGAATAATAATAATATAATAATATCTGTCGACGCGATTTATAATGATGTGAAAAGTGAACGGTTTTTTTCTTAGATTATTTTTTTTCTGACACAGCAGCAAAGAGGAAGTAGGTTTACGCCACCGTATTCGTGTCCGAATAATACAACACAGCATGGTTTTTCGCCTAACGAGTATACTCAGTGTACTCCTATAATATATATATAGGGATGTTTCCGTTTAGGGGATTTATATAGAAAACGGGTGAAAGTGGTTATTAAATATTTTTTTTTTGCCCAGGACAAAGGGCGATGAGGGATCGAAATACAGGATACAGGTATACAGGATAAACAATATTTAAAAGAAAAAAAAATAATACATACAACTAGACACGGTTTTATAATACAGTTAGGAACTTAATGTCTGAACGTATTAAATAAAAAAGTATTAGAAAATATAAAAAAAAACTTACTATTGCACTCTTTGCGTTTACAGAATTATTTTTAACCATTTACATTTTTACCTCTCAGCTGTAATTTTCACAATAATACTCACAAAAATGATAAAATAATCTAGATAATCTCCACTAATCCAGTATTATCTTAACTGAGTAAATGTTTCCTTATATAACGTGAAATGTGTGAATATCAAATATGTTTAATAGTTTATTTATATGGTTTTTTTTTTTTTTTTTTTATGAATTATTATAATATTTAAAAGGAAAACGGATTGAAATTATTAATTGCATCATTAATAATTTACTTAGAAAAATACTGTTAGATTTAAGTACTTTAATAATTTAATTCGCATTATCAAAAAATTTATACTTCATAAAAAAAAAATCAATTAAATTTCTAAATAATATAAAACAACGTTCAATAAATATCACACGTACGAGGCACGGATTATAACAATATTATGCGATACTGTGTCACGAAAATTGGTACGGCAATAATATAAGACATTAATTTACAGCAAGTTTAATTTAACACAACATAATATGTCATTAATAATTTTAAAAAAAATTTTTTTCTCTTTTAAATATTTTATACACACATAAAAAAACTATTAATTAAGACGATCTTGTTTGTGAATAAGAAGTCGTTTAATTTTATGTATGGTTTTCCTAATAATTACGAAAAACCGGAAAAAAAAAACACGTAAGATATACGTCAAAATGAATGACATTTGGGTTTTTAATGTTAGTTACAGTTGAAAATTATTGTAAAATTTTCAAAATATTATAACTATTTTTAAGCTATTTATAGTTATTTGATACTTTCGTGTTTTTATATGTATTTTTATTTGCTAGGTGTGTTATTAAAATTATACGACTTAAGAGAAATGCATGAAAAATTAACAAAAGGTACATTATAGTTTTATTTGCTAGTCTCAGAAACGAATTTAATATTAATGTATTAGTTTTTTTTTTTTCATAAGCGTTTTAATATCAAATTTTGAATGATATCGTAAAAATTATGGCATTTCAAAATATGTCTTACCGAACAGGTAAGTTTGTTTCAGATCAAATCGTTTTTCGTTAACAATGGTTTATCTTTGCTTATTGATATAAATTTAAAAACTTTTTGTATCTTTTTTAAATTGGTCTTTCTTAACACTAAGCCAACAGTTATACATAAATATTTTTGAAGTAATTGTATTTTATTTTTACATAAGGAATATTTATATTTTATACTTATCAATGAAAATTATTCTATTAAAATTCGATCAATTTGACAAATAACATTATGGTAAATGAGTACCCATAGCATTTAGTTTAAATTATTTACAAGCATAAAAATATATTATACTTCAAAATATTTATAAAATTAGATTAATAAAAAAATCGTCCATGTAAAAAAATCGTCTATTTGCAGTCTTTTAACAATGTCGTATAATTTATATGATGATGGTAAAATTATTTTAACAATTCTACGTAAAAATTAAAAAAACAATTAACGCAATCATCCGAGTCTTTTCTTTTTATATCGGAACTGATTAAAAACTTTATTGTGAATCATTAATGGAAAGTCTGTCGGGAAATATATAGTAAAAGAGCACAGGTACTGGAAAAAGAGGTGATTTACTGCTCTTTGTTGTGCTCTTTATAGTTTTTCTTAACAAAGGAAATAATTATTGTATCCCTGTGATGAAAACGTCTTTATGAACATTATGAAAACCAAATAAACGGAGGTTTAAAAAAAGAGTCCAATTTCATTTAAATTTTCTCAAAATCAGAGTTATAATTTTTTAAAAATACGATAATAATTAAATATAAGAAAAAACAATGTGAAATTAATATTATCTAGACATCGTTTACTAAAGGAAGATTTCCCAATTATTACCGAGTGAATTAACGCTGAAAACTAATTATTTCGAAAAATAAATACTTTTCGATCTTTTTAGCAAAATTATAACTATAAATTATTAACTCACAAATACTATAAATTCAATACGGGAATTACACATTTTTTTTATTTTATAAAATTACACGTCATATTGTGTTATGCAGTTAACACAGAGTCCGGTATAATCCCACAGATCTATTGAACGTCTGGATACTAAACAATCTATGATGAAACTATCTACTCCATGGTGGCATTAAAAACTTCATCAAACTTATACAAAGGGAGAAAATTGCTTCGGTGAACTTGTGCATTATTTGTTTTTACCATTATGTGATAATATGAAAAATATTTGAAATTAGTCTCAAATTGTTTCGAGTAGGTACACAAATATTCCATGGAAAAAGTATTACCGTCTCTTTTGTTTGCTCATTTCATGAATATTTTGAGACTTATTGTACAGTAAACAATTTCTAATTTTATTAACACATAAATGGATACAACTCGTAGATTTACTAGATAAACTAGTTTCCGACCTTCATTGTATCAAAAAAATCAAATTGGATTTTTTACCGGGATTCCTGGATAAACAACCAGCATGATAATAGAGTATATTTTACATTAAATCGAGTCTGCTGAAATAATTTCACGTGCAATTCCATTAACACGTTATGTCAGTCGAGGCGGACATTTAAACGCGCGGACAAAATTAAATGCATAACGTCCATAAATCAAGTGACCCCTGCAACAACTCGCGGATAATCTGGACGACTATTTTATTTTATTTTTTTTGTATTTTTTTTCGCTCAATTCCTTCCTTCCTTTCCCTCTCGACGAGGATTTGATAAACAAAACAAACATTTATCGTTGACCATTGTCCCTGCCACCCACCATTTCTCGCCGATATAAACGGGCCGGGGACGATTGTTAAAGCCAATCATTAATAAAGCTTAAGATAGCGCCTCTGAAGTTTCTGCTGCCTATATATATATATATACATGTATATATGTATAGCTGTAAAAGGGTCGCCCGCCGACATGTTAATATATTTCGTATGCAAATGTTCTACTGTTGCCGCAGGTATATATAATTATAGCCGATTAAAACCGGACTTTGTTTGTTCGTGTCCCCCGGCCCTTTGCGCGACGGATTCGCCGTAGCGACGGTGACAATAATTACAAAACGCGCCACGCACATATTGCCGTCCTCGCCGTCTATATATCCTTCAACGAACGGGGAGAGCCGTTTTGTATTCATCGAACTTTGAAATTCTTTGGTGAAAATTATTAAATTTCCCGAACCCTCCGCCGCTGCCGTGTGAAAACTTTTGCCGGTCACCACGGCAAAAACAACGCGACGCAGTAAGTATGAGACGAAACGACGCGCGAAAATCCCAAACAAAGGCCGCATAATTAATGAACGGCGACGTATACTATTTTGCAACTTGAATTATAATATTATAATAATGATAATATAAGACGATTAAAAGTCATTGTTTTGTACAATATGCTGTAGCGGAAATACGCAGACTACACCGTTATTGTCGCGGACAATAGTTGAGCATTTTTTACTTCGCACGATTATTTGACACGTTATTATAATACCTGCTTTAAGATCATTTATAATATCCTATTACCGTCAACGAAATTACACTTAACCAAATATTGAAATTAAATCGGCAGATGGCCGCCAATGCAAAACGGTGCCGTTTCCCCTATAAATTGGTTTTCGGTTTAGGTATACATTGTCCGCGTGTACATAGGTGACACCCGTGTATAATTTACAGTGACACGCATTTAACCGCGTAAAATTATGCACGTCTATGAAATAATTAATAATGCTACTAAGTTTTGTCCAAACGAGCTCGTCGAAACACTGGAATCTGTACGTTTCTGTGCAATGTCGATAACACGAACTATTTCAGCTATAAAGAATATTAATATTTAACGTCACGATAACATAATCGGAGATATATAGCCGACGTATAATGTTTCAGTTATTAATTTCCGATTATGTTGATGCGATATTGCGATCAATAATGATATTCGTGGATGTAAATAATATTATAATAGTGTTGTTATACGTCGAACGTTTTAAACACCAAAGTCAATAGCGAATAATGTATTTTTAAATAAAAACAATTATAATAACTTAATTATTAAAAGAATTAACTTTTAACATGTGTTGCGACAATCTTTAATTTTTAGATTCTTAGCGAAGCGAGAATTTCTGTGGTTTCACTATGATGTGTTTTTCTCTGTCCATGAATTGCTTTTCTAATAGAAATATCGTTCCGATTATCAACTGTTGGATGAATTCTGGTAATAAATTTTGTCTAGAAGGTACAAAAGCAATAGCACCAACAGGAGGTGACAAGGCGAGGCCATGGCTGGGGAGGGAGGATATTACGGGGAGTTCTGTAATTTAGATAAAATTTTGTTTTTCACATTATTAACAGGTACAGTTTTTAACTTTGCCTACCACAGTTTATATTTCCGCGTTTACCAGAATAAAGGGTCGTTTTTTTTAATTTAATTTTCTTTTGGGGGGGGGTTTGTTAATATCAAAAAACGGGAAAATGCACGCCATAAAAGATTCCATTTTTTTCCGTTTCATCTAATATAAATAATCATACTGAAATTTCGAGAAAATACTTATGTTAACAAATAGTTAGCGATTTCTTTAACTATTTATAATAAAGTAATTTGAAATTTATTAGTTTTTATTTAATTCTATGCGAATTAAAATGTTTTGGCACATCCAAAACGCCCGAAAATTTAACGTGAGGTTAAACCGTAGGTCACCTACGGGTCATACTTAGTACAAAAAAAAAAAAAATGTTAAGCGTAATTTAATAGATTTCTATAATAAGCGTACCGGGTGACTCATTTAAGTGGATACACTCATTAACTCGGAATGTATTAAGTTTTTTCGGAATTTGTTTTCTAGAACATTTAAGAAACAATCTGCTCTACAATTTTATATTTATGTTATTTTTTATCGCCATTATTTTTGAGGATTTTTACACTACCTACTTTTGATTTTCAAATGGCAACCTATATTAAAAATACCCAAACGTTCATACCCAAACGGAGTATTAATTAAAATTAATTTCATCAGTAAAACTCGATATATAGAGTTCAGATTTGTATTAGAATCAGAAAAACCAGGACGTGTTTAATCGTAATTCGCTTACCTTCGTTTTTCACGTATATACGCAAAATTGATTTAATCATTCCGTTATAATACCATAACTTTTCGATTTGCAACCTAAAACTGTAGCACACCCTTCAGACGAATTTTAATATCCCGTCACGGTTTTGATGCATCTTTATTACATATCAATCGGTCCGTGGTCGCGTGCCTGATATTATTTTAATAATGTTTCATAATCAGTACAAAAAACAGATATATCATTTCGTCCGTGTATATTATTATTCGGTTCCAACGCGTTCGTGTTTTACATTAGGGAAACCTTGCCGGCGTATACGCACTTAAATACCTCACGGTGACGGCGGCTTATAAATTAATTAGCGACGGCGCCTCGACCGAGTTCGTCCTGACAAAAGCCCGGGGTGTCTTTTCAACGAATAACCGCCCGGTGTATGAGTGGAAAGCTCTTTTCGCGGACGAAAAGGATGTATTCAATGTGTCGGGACCGACCACCGTCGGTAGGTATACAGGGTGATTATTTTATCATCGCGGACCGGTGATTATCTATACGAGGATTTTGAATACATAATAGTATATTCGAGATACATTCAGTCAAATAATAATACTGGTTTGTAATATTTTCAACATTTTGTAGTTATTCTGCGTATAAGTACCATAAAATATTAATCACAATAGTTATATAAACAGTATTGTTCCACTTTTTCTGAATTAGCATTCGAAAAATTGATATTTCTATAAACATTTCAAAATATATAACGCAGAAATTTATACCAGGAGTTTTATACTTAGTATCTTTGGTTTTTCCTTTATATACTTCAATTTCAGGCGATTTGTATTGTATATAAGTATTATTTTAAAATATTCTGGTTTCGAATCTGAATATTTATTAAAAAATATGAGTCACTATTTGAAAATAAATATTTAATAGTATATTTATTAAGTATTTATAGTAGGTATTCTTTAACAGCGGTAGATCCAGGGTTTAATTTTGAGGGGGCCCATAGTCAAAAATTAAGTGAAATAACTTTATACAAAATTACCTACGACTATTGAATTAATAAACCTTAACTTAGGTCTATGGGGGGACAAGACCCTTCGGGCCCCTCTCTTCAACCACTGCACTGTAATCGGAATAAGGATGGTAAAACGTTAAAAATATTGTAGATAAGATTATTAAAAAACAGCTAGTTTTATAACGTCTGAATTAAACTTAATTCAAATTTACCATAGAGATCTTTGCATATAAGATAGCCACTGTTGATTCATGTATGATAAAAATATCACCCTGTATATTTTTAACCTACCTTGAGGGAGAGAGTGTTGGACAGTGTATCGCTAAGCTCCCTCCCCTTCCCCGCCACAAATGACCACCACCCGACCCAACGACGACAACGATAGCGACGCTGACAACTTAATGCTTGTAATTAAATACCTACTCGTTCGTTGAGCGGCACAGTTAGGGGTGATGGTTGGGGGTGGGAGCGCTTATAATAATTCTCTTATCATACCCTAGTCCCTTTCTCTCTCTGCACTGCTGCCGACAATCCTTTCGGATGCCAGATGACCACGAACCCTATTAGTTTAATGGACCGACGACTTTTCTCGTCGTTCTCGGGGTAGGTATATAAATCGTTTTGTATACTATCGAAAATTATATTTACTCGTATTATTTCTCAAAAAACCAAAAAAAAAATGAAACAAAACAAAAAACATAATCATACAAACAAGGCAACTTATAAAACCTTATTTTTTAAAACCAATTTTTCCAAAAAGGGTTGGTTTGCAATCAAACTAGATCATTAGAGTCAATTTATTATTATATGTTGATACATGTATAAATGTTTGTAGAAGAAATATAAAATAATATAATGATTATAATATTAAAGTTCTAATACTATATAGTAATACATGCTAGTATGATACATTGATACATAGTACATAATATAATCCAGCATAGAAGTTTAAATATTTAAAAGTATTTATTGTTTAAAAATTAATTAGGATTTAAACTTTGTATTTATATTTTTAACTTTGTGGATTAATAATTTTATAATTTTAACTTAAAACCGTAATACATAAAAAAAAAATTTTAAATATTCTAAACAAATTAATACATGTTATTAATTATATATTAAAAATTAAAATTGAATAATTATTTTTTTTATCATTTATTATTTATTTGAGATACACAGTTTGTTTCTTTAGGAACAATACGAATGTATAATGAAAGATATTTGTTGAGTTGCTTGATGGGAACTGCAGACCATAAGTCCATATTTGTTTAAGCAGGGATTTGTATATTAAGAGTTTAGTATTTAATTTCATGTATCTATTGTTGGATATTAAAAATTTAATGATGCGAAGGCGTGCGTTTAAAGCCTTATATCTTTAATGTGATTTGTCTATAAGTTAGCGGTCAAACGTTAAAACTAAGTATTTAATTGATTGAGAGGTGGGAATTTAGGAATTGTCTAGAGACACCTCAGGATAAGGAGGAATACGTAGAGTGATGTGGCATGAAGTGATTTGGATCAGTAAACTTTGAATAGCCATTTTGTATACCAAACAGCCATGTGGTCAAGATGGTATTGTAGATTGAAGGAAACAGTGTGTAAATCTTTAGGAATAAAAAAGACGTTCTGCTCGTAAAATAATGGAGACGGGTGTAGTCACTATTATAGATAATTTAATGTATACCTGTATGTAACGATAAACCATTGCTTACGAAAAACCGATTATGAGTGGAGTTAAGTGAATAGTGATGTTATCACAGTGATAATATTGTAGTTAAATAATTAAATAGGCATCGTACATTATCCTTAATAATATTTGTTTAATATTGATCTGATTTTCTTGGTTTTTCACATTTACTGGAAACTTTTGAAAAAAACAAAAAAATGACCTCCCTAAAATCATTTTTGAACAGAATTCCTTTCAGAAAAAGTGCTATTATTGTAAATTGGAGCAACATTTTTAGTAGAAAAGTTGTTCACAGAAAAAAAAAAATCTTAAGGTTTTATTACATATATTTTACTAATATGTTTCTTACATTTCTGCTATTCAAACACTAACTATAGTTGATGCTATGCCAACAATATACATATATGTGTATTGTGCATGCCTGTATATGTCATATTGTAGTAAAATAATTAAACAGACATTATATATTTTCTTTAATGTTGTATCGATTTTCCCTGTTTTCCTACGTTTTTCCCGATTTTCCCATGTTTTATCCCGGTTCTTCACATTTACTGGGAAAAATCTTGAGAAAATCGAAAAATGACTTTCCTAAAGTCCCTTCCCAGTCAAATTTCCTTTCAGAAAAATCATTATAAATTGGAGCGAATTGATGGCAAAAAAGTTGGGCACAGAAAAAAAAAAGGCCGTAAAATGTTTTAACTAATACCTACATTAGGTACTTATATTCTCCCGTTTTTTCTCAGTTATTTTTTCAGTTTTTCAAATTTGATGAGAAAGCTCTAGAAAAAATCGAAAACTTATCTCTTTAAAGTACCTTCTTACACCGATTTCCTTTCAGAAGATGCCAAGCTTAAAAATCTAAGCAATTCTTCAGGTAGAAAAGTTGCGCACAGATAAAAAAATAAAAAAATAAAAAAAAAATAAACATCTGTGTTATGATTTTACCATAAGCTTCTTCGCTCCACTCAGAATCTAAAATAATAGCCTTGTCATCGGTAAACTCAGCAACTATTGTGTTTGGAGAGATGGGCTGATCGGTAGCGTAGATATTATATAAAATGGGAAATAGGATGCCTCCTTGTGGAACACTTGCTCTAATTTTTGCTTTAGGTTTTTGGATAAGATGTTCCCTATGTTAATGATTTCAATATAAATTTAAAAAAATAGCTTACTAATAATAATTACAATAATTTATTTATACAATATACGATATTTATTGTATACATTGATCATTCGATATCGGACGATAATTTATAACAATCCACACACGGGCACACGGTTTTTCATATTATAAACGTATTGTTAGTTCATGGCTGTTTGTGGTTTTGATGAACCACAGGTAAGTGTGTTTTATTACAATATGCTCTTTTTCTTTGGATTGTAAGTGTTTAGTTTTTAATAACCGTCAATTGGACATAACAAATTGTTTTTAGAAAGCAAAATATGTTAAAGGTGATGAAAGCAGTGTGTATTCATAATATTTCAAGGAATTTCCTTAATATGCAACAATTAACGATGATATCGTTATAAGTAGAGTATTAGTAGAAACATTGATCAGATAATTATAAAAGTCATCAGCTGATAAACATACTATAACGAAAAAAGCGGGGGAAAGATATAAGAAAGAATACAGGCCAATAGAAGAACTACCACTAGATAGCAATTTTAAGAATGAACTTCAGAAAATTTTAAAGTACTCAAGGGTAGAAGTAACAAAAACAAGACCTAGCGCAGTGAAAAATAGAAGAATGCTAACGAGTAATTGAACAAGACGACCAACATCTAATAAAAACGAGCGGTGCCATAAGTTTTTTTTTTTTTTTATAATTTTGTGGCGATTTTTATGTTTTTGTCGTCTTTACCGGGTTCACTCGTTCCTTTATCATTTTTTTCACTGCACATGTTCATAAGTATTCCATAAACTAGAAACACTACGCTGCTGAGTAAAAATGATCTTATGCATAGTACCAAGATTCCTCTAAAAAATATTTTCACACCGCCTTGCGCATACATCTTCTTCACACAGTCCCACATGCCATTGTATAACGGCTTTTTTGATTGACTGTCCACGATGATTTTGGTTTTAATCGCGTCTAATGGTGACACCAAAATCCAACTAGTGACACCTACATGATAAATAACAAGTAGTACTATAAACATCGATAAGTTTAACGGATCAACTACAAGAGTTCTTCATAAATAAAATAGAAATTTCATTGGTTAATATATTTTAATCGGTTTCAAAAAAAAAAAAAAAAAAATGAATTTAAATGGAGTATAATACAGGCAGATTAAAATATTACATAATAATATTTTTTCGAACGGGTTGCAAAATATGATAGACATACCTGCGAGACCTCCGGCTACGAGTTGTATATACTTTGGCATTTGTTCGTTTTTAGTTTCGCTATGATACCAATATTTTTTCATAACGCAACAGAAATGCTCATACGAGAGAAAATAAATGCCCGTATGAGGTATATCTCTGCAAAATCAAAAATAGATTAACTCAAATTCGTATTCTGTAGATTTAAAATCAGTGCCAGCGCAAGGGTAGTGCAATTGGTGCAGCCGTACAGGACTCCGCGCAAACTTTGAACCCCCGCAAAAGTAGGGTTCACTCTTGGAAAGCAAATTATTATCATTGAACAAATATTATAATTTAGAAAAAATATTATTAATATTATAATTTATTGACTGCATAGTATTATGTTGTGTTATTCGTGTACCTACGTAAATCATGAAATTAAAAGACCAAACTTCAAATACTAATAAATTACTGTCGGTTCTAAATGTAAAAAAAGCTGTCCTAGGATAATAGGTACAGGTGCAGCCACTATTGTAGGTGGGAAGTTGGGAAGGCAGGATTAGAAGGGAATTTAATGTATAATTGAAAACAACGATAAACCATTGCTAAAGAAAAAACGATTCTATGCAGTTATTAGTTGATAATGATGTTTTGTCAAAAATGTATGTCATATTATGGTAAAATGATCAAATAAGCATTATTTATTTTCTTTATTAATATTTGTTTAATATGTTGATCCAATTTTCTCGTTTTTCCCATGGTTTTTTATATTTTCTGGGAAAACTCTTGGGTATCTCATGGATAGCAAGTAGAAATATATTGACGGAAATTAATTATAACATAAACTACAAATATTTAAATCTCTCGTGAAGGAAAATACAATTGCACTTCAATCTCTTCTATATAGGTACTAAAAATATTAAATTACTCATAACCAAACAACTTTTTTTCTTCGAATAATACTAACTGTACCTATCAGTCAGTTTCTACTGAACGATTATTCTCGAAATTAATTAATAAAAAGTTATCCTAGGAGTGCCACGTCACAAATTAGACAAACTAGACTTGCAACATTATCTATGTAAAAAGCCTTAAAAAAGACAGAACCAAATCCATTAAATATGATTTGATATTATAAATGACTTTGGAAAAGCAAAGACAAAACCAAGATTGGTTTAAATTATTTATTGGGTATTGTATAAATTAAATTTTATATAAACTGTTTCTTAAGATTTTTATCTAATTAATAGGCACACACTATATTAAAAAGTAAATATTAACAATTTGTATGGATTATTTTATTTATTAGTGTATCTATGGGCTTTTAGTTTACCTAAACAGTATTAAATACATTTCACTTCTGATAAATATGTTATTTTTTAGTAGATTGCTGAAAAAGAAATCAGTGTTCTCATTTATGAACACAATAAGGAGCAGAAAATATAAAAAAGGCCCCCGAAATTGAAGCGTCTGTCACTATTTAACAAACAAACCTTATCATCAATGACATTCCTCCCCTGTAGAGTGAATGAATCCGGCCGGTTTTGTATCGATCAACAATCAATTTAAATGTACTCATTACTTTCGGGGACTCAATTTTTTCCGAGTTTTTTTGTTTCTCAGTGGACTTTATCGATATATCTAAAATAATTATATATCAGAAGAAACAAAATATTAAAGCCATAGGTATGTTGCCTACTGGATGCTTGTAATATTGTTTTGACGACTTCCATCGGTATGTTTATCGCACTTGAAAAAAATCCACCTATACAGCCGGCCATAAACATATCGACGTGCCAATACAATTTATTCAAATTGTTCGAGTCACAACAATACTTAACGTCTATATCATCAGTACCGCGGAACTTTAGGATTAACCGCATTACGTTACCACTAATTCCAAATAGAATCGAATTTACAAGGCCCTTACACAAAAGCGGAAACATCATTCCTCTGTAAAACCCTGCAACCTATTTAAAAAAAAAAAAAGTAAGCAGAATATTAGTTATTATATTTTGTTTTAACAATATTTCAATAACTTCCAGTAATGTCGTATTAATCAGTTCTTATTAGTTATATTCTATACTTGATTAGATAATTATCATATACATTTATAATTTCATCTATTACCTTTTGTTCGTTATAAACATATTGCATAGATTGGATTGGCCCAATGTTGGCCACTTGTTGTACGACTCTAATAGTATCCATCGGATAGCCAATAAACGTAGCAACAATGCCTATAAATAAAAACATGAATCCGATCAATTACGATTTTGTTGTTTTCTACTTCGAATTTATGTTCTAACCCGCCGTCCATCCTGATACAAAATCGCATATCGAAAATATCCTGTTTCCCGAATCGATTGAATTTTTCGGCGTATCTAACAAGATTTTTCGGTAAACCGGTTTCGAAAATTCTTCACTAAACAGAAACATGCCAGTCACCGGTATCATTCTGATTAGTGTGGGCCATAATCCCGAATAAAGTCCACGAAATCCCGCTTTTTGGATTTCTCTACGGATCAATGGCCACCCGGTATGTGTTTCGGACATTTGGACACGCGATTTCACCACGTCTATCGGGTATGCCACGAGCCACATCCCTAGGCCGGCTATCGATCCGGACGCCGCCAAAGTTAATAGATCAGCTTTTTCTTTTTGGCCGCCGGTTGGATTAAACAATTTCTGGCACCGTTCATACAATCCGAAGAACAACATTTTACTAACAAACTCTCTTAATAGTGTACATTCCAGTCCACGGTATAGACCTACAAATCCGTCAGTCTTCAGTGTTTGTTTTACCACCAACTTAATCGATGGCATGTTTGGACGTACTTCTCTGAAGTCTTCGTATCCCTGCATTCGAATTTTTACTAACTCGATGGGACAAAGTACCAGCGAGGTCAATAGCTGAAAGGGTGTAGTTAATTTTTGATTAACGAATATAGGTTTATTCGCATTTCGACGCATATGTATAGAGGCGATTATTTCTTAGTAACAATTTTATATCGTATTGCAATTATTTACATTTTCTGGTATATAAATTAAAGACATAACTTTTGTAACTATACGTATTCAACGAACGACGCTTATACTAACCGATTCAATACTTCTGGCACACACATTATGGTTTTTGTCCTGCCCGACGACGTATTTCGCCAATTTTTGGCAATAGTTGTACGAACCGACCATGACTGCATTTTCAGCAGAGTTCGCCAAAAGAGCCGGCACACAACCGACATACAAGCCTCGAATGCCCTGTTGTCGGCCAGTCATGTACAGAGAAGAGAACATATTTTTATATAAATTAGGATATAATTGCATGTTCGTTTTCACTGTATCCAACGGTTGTCCGACAAGGGCCGAAGCAATTCCGCCGGTAATACTACCCAGCATATCGACTAGTCTACAAATCATATCTAAATCGCGTTGAGTAAACAATTATATAATATATATCAATTACAATTACAATTATTATAATAAAATATATAAAATATAAATACAGAATTCTATACAAAAAATCAGACGACATAAACTATGATCATCTCTATAGCAACGATAAATAATATTTTTTTACATTTTTACATTAAAAACAACCATATTATTGTGTACAGGAATAATTGTATTATTACAAGAATAATCTTGTAAGTCACTGTAGTAGATAGGCAGTCTGAATGTTATAAGATGTAGGGTAGTTAAATATATGTATTGATAACAACGATCAATCATTGCAATAGAAAAACGATTCTATGCGAAGTAGTATTAGCCGTGTTTTTTTTTTTCTTTTGTAGTCCATCTAACTCAGAAATCAACAAAAATAAAACCTATGTATCGACATTTGTGATCAGTTTTTAAAATATCAAAGAAAAAATTGTAGGGAATCTAAAAATGTGTATTTAAATAAAGTACTACTGAACAAGAATCCCTTCATCGTTTAAAGTACTGTCAGAAAAATCGGAGCATTTTACTGGCAAAAAAAAAATTCTTCGAGAAAAACTCAGCAAACCTAATACCTTCTTTGTTATACTGAGGGTATAATATTAAATGTTTATGGTTTTTACACGACTTGTTACAATGTTGGTATTTTTTTTTTCAACTTTAGTTCAGTGGACCATATAATATGTGGACAATAGATAAAATAGGCAACTGTAGATGGCCCTCTGTTTGACTAAGTCCCATACGAATTATGCAGTCGTACATTAAAAAAATAAACTGAATTGTATACAATATATTGTATTATTGCGACAAAAAAAAAAAACAGAATCAAAATTAATGAAATCATTATTTCCGTAAACTTTCCCGTTTTTCCTACGTATATTTCCGTGTTATTATAAAAACTCCAAAGAAAATCGAAAAATGACCACCCTTTTTTACTAACAGACAGAAAAAATCACACGCATATATCGTAGTAAAACCAATAAATTCCTAGCTATACTCGGAATCTAAAAATTAATCGAACATATTTGTATGTCTGATGATAATTAATGGTGTGTACCGGCATAGCAAGCTCATATCAGTCGAAATTGAAGATATCAGAGTATCGAATGCCGGGTTTATTTTAAAACTGATATTTGAGCCGATATTAGCGATGGAAATGTCTCAAGAATATAAATAAATCGCTCAAAAATCGGATTTTCATTGGGATATCGGTTAATTTCAATATCAACTCATTGTTTTTGGTTTCAAACATCGAATTAGATATATCGAAATCAAATATCGGAACATTGGCTTAAAAATTCATGTTGGTTCATCAGTGACAACTGCGTTTGTCATTTATTGGCAATAGTCGATAAAATAATAATATACCGTTGTAACTTAATAGTATCTATAGGTTTTTTTTTATTTAACTTTAATATACAAAAATATAATTCATAAATCATAATATTACTTATCATGATTTCACAAGAAATAAATAGCTCTAAACAAAAATAAAAATAGAGTATCAAAGCAGTAGTATTTTAATCTGTGTTATAAACAATATAGCCGATAAATTGAGCATAAGCCACTGAGGAAAAAACAAAATAATTTATCAATGTAAAACCCGTTGTTTTAATTTAAAAATACGGATTCTGGTTCCTAATATTTTAAGGATTTTTGAGTTGAAGAACCGGTTCTTTTCGATTCGGTTCCAGTCCCTGCGTTAAATTTGTTTTGAAAAAAAAAATGAATGGTTAATTGAACTTTAATTACGTTTCATGCCATTCGTTATTAGCCACAAACTGTAATTCGCGTAAAATAAATTTAAAGTACGCACATATAGTGATCATTGTTATAGCTGGTGTGTATAGACTCGATATACGTTGGCGAAAAAAGGATTTGGGCGGTTAACACGTCTGAAATTGTAAGTATTTGGATTCCGTCGCGTACCTATGTACCGCAGTGATCGCAGTTAACAAACTCGAATTGAATTCGTATTTAAAAATCAAAAAAAAAAAAAAAAAAAAAA